TAGTAATCATTGTTATACAGCTGTTTCATAATGTTAACTGAACAAGGACCATAACCAATTTACCTTGACCCAAAATGCACTTCTGACTCATATACATAATTATATTATCAATTTTGGACTGACTGGTAAATATGGTGAACTCTCATTTAGTGATTTCATTTTGAAACAGACTGTTGTTATTCTTTGACACTAAATCATGTACAAGTTAATGTGATGACAATGTTCCAATTCCGATGAAAATTTATTATTATCCATTTTAGAATTTATAAGCTGTCTGTGTAAATTATTATTTGATTTTTTCAGTGCCTCTTTCAAATCTGGTGTATAAATAGGTACTGGCAAATTTAATATTGCGGGGTAACCCTGTAATGGACTAGCATCCCATCCAGGGGTAGTAGAAAAACTCCTAGTCACTTCACGCTACAGAAACTGGGATAAGTGCCGACCTGATGGGACACTTGGCTCATATGCAGACTTTACTTTCACTTCGGAGTTGCTGTTTGCCTCTTTTTTAGAACAAATGCTCATGCAAAACATTTCACATTAAAATGACTTGATTTTCAAGAGAATAAACGTACAGGTGACATGCATTTTCATACGAATAGTTTTGCACAAAGACTCGTTTTGCCATAGAGGCAGAAGTCAGCTATTCATCCATGAGCTGGCTCAGGGAGCCTTTGATTCACGTCAAGATTGTCCTTATTTAACTGTGTGAGAACTGAAAATTAGCGGAACAACTAAAACAGATGCGCCAAACAAATTTCGTTATTTTGATTCATTTTCTGCAGGAGATGGTCTGTTTGGCACATGTGAAGTTTGACATATGAATCAAAGTCGATCTTTTTCCGTTCTATTTGACAAGCTCAGTCAAATAGTGTGGCACAGTCGACCCAAATACAAAAGTGCCATTCCTAATTAATTCATACATCAAACTTTATATGTGCTGAACCTAATAACTAGGTTCAGAACGTGTAAAGTTTGATGTTTGAACTGGGTGGTGTTAAGGTTTTGTTTTTTTGTTTATAAAAGCCTGCATAGGTTTAAAAGGGGCATGATAAGTACTGGAGGTGAGTATTTTTCCCTCTCCTGAAGAAACAATGCATTTTTATTACTGCTGAAAAACCTACCTTTTTTCCCCACAAACTTTGAATCTTAGTTAACTTTTTATCGTAGTCAATAACCAAAATGTAAAGTTTCCATTTGCATTTAGAAATGCAGTGCTTAGCAGAAGCAAACCCAAGTCTAACTTGCACATACAAAATTGCTTTCCAGTTTCTTCAGTTTGAAAACTAAAAGGGATAATTAATCGAATATATGATTAGCCTGAAAAACAGGCTTTATTGTGTACCCATTTGTCAGGTGAGTGAGGGCAAGCGTGAGATACAAGAAATGCTTATCATAATTATTTACATTTAATTTTTCATTCTGCGGTTCTAATTATTGTAGTTATGATAAACGTTTTTGTCAATAGAGAGTTTAGGCATGACGTTTCCAAAGACGGGAAACGGGAAAAATTGCCTTGGAATTTTAATTCTTTTCTCGTAATCCTTAACCAAATCGCACAAATATAGAAAAATGTCTCCTACTATTCATCGCAAATACAAATATTTTTGATTTACTGTACAAATAGGTGAAGACAGATGGCAAAATTTTCATGTTTGCCATTTGACGTTACATCATGCTTAATCTCTCTAATGTCTTTTGCCGGCAGGCGTTAATTAGCCAAGCGCAAAGTGGGTTCAGTGGGGAATATAGTGGGAGAGATGATCAGGGATATTAAGACACGACTTTTTTTTTCACACAATGGCACCAATCTCTCCTGCTTTGCATTTGGCTAAATTGTGGATGTTGCCCTTTTTGCTCATGGATGATGTAATTTACGTCATCCATGAGCTTAGTAGGCAGTCCAATGGCACTCACTCAC